AAATTGTAATATTATCGTGACTTGTAATTTTATTATTTTGTACTTATTGGAATCACAAAATGATTTATTAGATTTTATAGTTATTGTGCTAATATCGTTTTGTGTTATTAGAACAAAATAAAGTCATTTTACGTTTCTGTGTTTTTTTTTCATATTACAGACAAATGACTTTTATATCATTATAATTGACGTATATGTAGTTCTAGTATGAAAAATGCATAGATTCACATAACGACATCAAAATCGTTCCCGAGACACAAAACAATATTGATGTCGTTCCAGTACGAAAATTACATTGATTTACATATCGACATTGAAATCATTTTTGAGGCACAAAATGAAATTGATGTTCCAGTATGAAAAATACACTGATTTACTAATTTTCATAACGACATTGAAGTCATTATAGACCAATAAAATGGCATGAAAGTCGTTATATAAAAAACTTGCACAACGCACACAACATAGGGAGCTGTCGCACTCGCGTTCACGCCTTATGTGCGCGCTTGGATGACTTTTACTTTCTTTTCAATTGAGTCCTCCAAGTAATTGCATCATATGTCTTTCCACTATATAGATGTTGTTTCTTTTCACATCAAACGACAGTGAAAGCTTTGTAGTACGTAACGACATATTTATCGTTTCAACACAAATTTGATGAGTTTGTACTCGTTTCAATTGAACACGTAACTGAAATGACTCTTTTCATATGAAACGACAATGATTTCTTTGTAGTATCAAACCCACGAAATAACGTAACGACATTCATATAGTTTCAGAACAAATTTGACGAATTTGAACTCGTTTCTGTTGAAAACGTAATTAAAATGACACGTGTCGTTTCTTTACACATGAAACGACAATTATATCATTGTAGTGTCAACTACACGAAATAAGATAACGATATAGTTTTCGTTTCAATACAAATTTGACTAGTTCAAAATCGTTACAGTTCAAATAATAACTATAAAGACGTTGATATTGTTTCTTTTCATATAAAACGACAATTATATTGTTGTAGTATCAACACGTAGGGATGACAAAAAAATCCGAAAACCCGATACTCTCCACCCGAACGGGGCGAGAAAAACCCGCTTAAATGGGTAACGGGGTCCTTGCCTCGCCCCGCCCCTTAAAAAAAAAATTTTTTTTTTTTTAAGAACTCAATACTTTAAATGAAAACTTTCACTAGTTCTAATAGAAAATAGCAACTAAAATTATTTGTCTAAATCTAATAAATATGGGTAATAAATATAAATTATCAAAAACTGAAAAAAAAAATTTTTAACGAGGAAATGACCTACCCCCGCCCTGCCTTAAACTGGTAACGGGGCAGAGACGGGGTAAGGAATTTCTTAGCGGGGTGGGGAGGGCTGCCCCGTTGCCATCCCTACAAACACGCGAAATAATATAATGATATCTATATCGTTTCAATGCAAATTTGACGAGTTCGAAATCGTTACAGTTCAAATAATAATTACAACGAAATTTATATCGTTGCTTTTCAAATAAAATGACAACTATATCGTTATGCTTAAAAACAACAATTCGACCGTCTACGTTCATTTGACATGCCTCCGACATATGTATGATAATTGAAAGAGGGTATCGAGTGGGTTGATAGCATTCAAATGGCTCTAAAAGAGCGAATGTAGATACTTTCTTTCTATTCAAACAATTCAAAAGTGGTAGACAATTATGGAGCACAAATGTTCCCATTGTTTCTGTTAAGTGAGATCGAACTCGCTTGATAACCTATTTTTATCATCATACGTACGACTGATGTATGTCAGGTGGCCGTGGACGGCTGAATCATCATTTTTAAGCATACGATATAGTTGTCGTTTCAGTGTAAATTTAATGAATTCGAAATCGTTACCGTTCAAATAAAAACTATAACGACGTTGATATTGTTTCTTTTCATGTAAAATGACAACTATATTGTTGTAGTGTCAAACACACGAAATAATATAACGATATCCATATCGTTTCAGTGCAAAATTGACAAGTTCGAAATCGTTAGAGTTCAAATAATAATTATAACGACATTTCGTTTCTTTTCATGTAAAACGACTACTATATAGTTATGCTTAAAAACGACAATTCGAACGTCTACGATCATTCAACATACATCCGTCACATGTATGATGATCGAAAGAGAACATCAAGTAAGTTGATAGCACGTGAATGGTTCAGAAAGAGCGAACATAGATACTTTCTTTCTATTCAAACAACTCAAAGGTGGTAGACAACTATGAAACACAAATGTTCCCATTGTTTCTGTTGAGTGAGATCGAACTCACTTGATGACATATTTTTATCGTCGTACGTACGAAGAATGTATGTGGGTGGCCGTGGATGGTTGAATATTCGTTTTTAAGCATAACGATATAGTTGTCAATTTATATGAAAAGAAACGATATAAATGTCGTTGTAGTTATTATTTGAACTGTAATGATTTCGAACTCATCAAGTTTGCACTAAAATGATATGGATGCCGTTATGTTATGTGTTTGATACTACAACGATATAGTTGTCTTTTTACATGAAAAGAGTCAATATCAATGTCGTTATAGTTATTATTTGAACAGTAACGATTTCACAATTTCGAACTCATCAAATTTGCACCGAAGCGATATAGATGTTATGTTATTTCATGTGTTTGACACTACAACGATATAATTGTTATTTCATGTAAAAAGAAAGGGCGTTTTAAATTGAAACGAGTTTAAACTCGTTTAATTTGTTCCGAAACGATACGAATGTCGCTACGTTATTTCGTGGGTTTTACACTACAAAGATATCATTGTCGTTTGATATAAAAAGAAACGACATCTATGTCGTTTAAATTACGATTTAAACTGAAACGAGTACAATGTCATTTTGACATGAAAAGAAATGATGTAAATGTCATTGTAGTTATTATTTGAATTGTAACGATTTCGAACTCGTTAAATTTGCACTGAAACAATATGGACGTCGTTATGTTATTTCATGTGTTTGAGATTACAACGATATAATTGTCGTTTCATGTGAAAAGAAACGCATACATGTTATTTTAGTTACGATTTTAACTTAAACGATTTCAAACTCGTCAAATTTGTAATGAGACGATATGCATGTTATTGTCATTTGATATGAAAAGAAACGATATCAATGTCATTTTATTTACCATTTTAACTTAAACGAGTACAATATCATTTTTAATGAAAGGAAACGATATCTATGTCGTTGTAATTTATAAAGGCCATGATTGAAAGGAAATTTAAAATTCAAAGACTTTCAAGATGAAAGTTGTAGAATCTAGGCTACAATTACTTCAAAAACTAAATTGAAGCAAAAAACAGCCAGCTGGTGCGTGCCTAACCAGCGAATGAGAGGTACTGAGAGTAACCATTTAAGCTGACACGCGCCTTAGTTCATGCGGGCGCTCGCCCTGTCATTATGAAAAACTAGTCAAGCAGTGTGTATTTGATTCTAAAATGATATGTAAATCGTTTTGTGTTTCAAGAACGATTTCAATATCGTTATGTTGGTTAGTGTAATTTTCATATTAAAACGACTTCTACATCGTTTTGTGTCACATGAACAATTTCACTATCGTTATTCGAATGATTGGATTTTCGTACTGTAACGACATTTACATCTATCGTAACGACGTAAACGACATTTACCTTTAATCTGGAAAAAAAACACGGAATCGTAAAATGACTTTAATTCAATTCTAGTAGTACAATATAAACACGGAATCGTAAAATGACTTTAAAAAATTATTTTGATGGCACTAAATTAGCCAGATTATGTCCACAAACAGCATGATTAACATCCTCGATTTGCATATTTTGTGACACAAATTACAATGCATAACTAATGGCCCAATTGGAGGTGCATCCTAATGTTTTTGGGCATGCTGGATCCAATAATGGTGTTAATTTACTCAAAAAACCTACCCCTAATTTGAAGAAAACACGCTGAAGCTTGTGGTGTTTGAAGACTCACCTTTGACCTCAGAATTTGACAAATGAGTGCTGTAATTTTGGCAATTGAGGGGCTGCCCAGTGTTATTTGAGCCTAAATTTGAGTTTTCCCAAGTTGATTTGTATGTTGGGCCACATTGGAGCCACGAATTGATGGAAAAATTTCACCTTCACGCGGTCGGGCAATTCTTGATGCCAAGTCCAAATTTTTTTTTTTTTTTATTTTGTTGATGAAATGAAGCAATTGATCCATGACCCGTGGTTGTAGCAACTTGAGTTGAATATTGGTGGGTGCAATTTGTAGATTGGGGCAGTGGATCAACATCAATTGGAGGTGGATCGGACTTGTTACCGCACGCGTTCAACGTCCCTGAAGAAACTGCCCGTTCCCAGCCAAATTGAGGAAGACCCATATGTTCATTGGACGCGTAATGAAGAGTAGGTGCTTGTAGTGGGGGTCCGCGATTGTGAGTCCCACAACCAAAACCGAAAAATTGATCTGAAGTCGCGCTATCGCTTGTTTCGTTGGAGCAGCTTCTTGATTTTGATTCCGTACATTGTATAGTGCTTTGTGATTATGGACAGGGGCGCCTTGATGTGTTTAATCGACTCGAATGCTGGGCATGACGTGGGGTTTGCCGGAGCTGGAGATTCCGACGTTTTTGAGAACACAGGCAAGCCATTTTGGCTCAATTTTTCGGGGATTTCAGCATGATTCGAAGCTTGTTGTTGGGTGGGGATTGTAGAGGATAATGAGGGCTGTCTAGTAATATGGATGTCTGGCGGTTTGGGTGGTGGTTGGCCGGAGTTTTTGGCTGTCAAAGGTGGCCACTCCACTTATGTTTTTGAATTTGAAGGAAGAGAAGACTATGCGTGTTAGACGTGAATGAGTGAAGAAAAACTTCAATTCATTCATTTTTGTTTTACAATATAAGGGTAAATGAGTCTTTTGACACTTCTAAATAATTAAAGTTCCTTTTATTTTTATATTTTTGGACTTTTGGTCAAAGCCTACTGCACAAAATGTTTATGAACGGTCTCCGTTTGAAGTCATTCCCCAAACTTGATCTATCTTCTGGTAGCCCAAATAGGCCGCTATACTCATCTTGGCATCGTGAATCCTATGCTACTGCTTTACTGGACAGATCAAGTAGCTTCCGCGAGAACGTGGAGAATCAAATCTTATCAACTCTTCCAAACATGACAAGAAGCAATTCTTCTGTAACACATGGAGATGTGATGAATTTTTTCCAATGTGTGCGTTTTGATCCAAAGTCGATGGTCGTGGACCATAAGTTGAATGGATCAGTGGCATTTAAGCGACTTGCAACTGCTGTTGTTGGCATCCCTGTTGGAATTAATTGATAAAGTGTTAAATAATTAAATGTAATATTTAATTATGTGGGCCATTGTAATTAATTTGAGTGAATTGAAAAAGTTTCCAATATATGCCCATAAGTTGATAAACTCAATTTTAAGTGTCTTATATATGGTAAGGAATCCCACATCGAAAGTTTACAAAAAAAAAGACTTGTTTATATAGTGGGATGTGTGTACAGGTTATAATTTAATAAGTGGTCNCCATGGCAACTGCATGTCGGTGACTGTTCAGAAATTGGTGAATAGGCATGATGAATGGACACTACTCTTCATGGTTAAATCTAGGCCGTCAGATCATGAAACAGTGCGATCCAATGGCTAGGAAGTATTAGACCAAGTGGTGCACTAGTTCATGAAATGCCACACCCTCATTCAATGAGACGCTTCAATCTCTATAAATAGAGACCTTCAGATTCGTTTTTTGTACACCAAATCAATTAATATATTCTTGATTTCTTCATTCATTCTCTCTTCATATTTTGCAAAAATTCCTTCAATATTTTCATGGTTATTCCGTTCGAGTACGTTCATTCTTTGGTTCGACCGACCAGGTTGGTATTGTACAGTATCAACTTTGGAAGAAGCGTTGTATCTTGGGAGACAGACGTCCATAATCTCGTTTGCACGTTGTTGGGGGGCAAAATCTGTCTTAAGGAGATTTGTCTTGGCATACCTCACTTCATCTTCTAGTTTTATCATTTTCTTTGTTCGATAGTCGAATTTTGGACGACAATCCCACTGGAAGATTCGCTACCTGGATCTTCAAATAGCAAACCACTGCTTTCTCCCTCATCAGATGATCTCAGACAACTCAAGGCTGGTGTACGGGAAGGCGGTACTAAAGCTAGGTACTTACTGTTGACCTTTTTTCATATGATTTTTTATGAGGGATAAGGATAATTTCTGAACTTACACCACGTATCAGGGAACGTGTAAAGATATTCAATGATTGTTTATCTGTAATCAACAAATGTTTCCCAACCATTCCATCAAGGAAGAGATCCCGACTGGATACCTTATCAAACGACGGATCCAATGCCTTGTTATCAACTGATCGGTCAAGTTCAGGGATGGGCATCAGCAAAATGGGATCACAGAGTCATGCCAGTACGAGTAGTTTTGAACTGGAGCAACAAAGATCAGAAGAAAGGACAAAAAATTCGATTCCAAACAAACGCACACGAACTTCTATGGTAGACCCAAGGGTAAGTTTTGGTTGCTTTCTTAAAATATTCTTTCTCCATACAGAATTGACTTGGCGATCTGCATTGATTGCTGTTCACAAGTTCTGTCTGCATATGTTTTTGTGCTTAATTATACTATAATGATTTTGGAAGGCTTCTTTATAATGTTCTCTTCATTAGCTACTAGCTCTCCCCCTTTTGTTTGATTTCTCGATTACAGGGCTATATAACTAAGTTTTAGTCTTAATTTTATGTGATAATGATTTCCTACTGTTGTTCTTACTTGTTTGAAAGTGAGTATCTAAGCTCCCGTTTGACAACCATGAAAACAAAACCTTTTTTCTCAAATTCAATTTTAATCACACATTCTCACAAAAATATTTTGGACATAAACTCAAAGCCTTTTCCTACCTTTTAATCCCACATTCTTCAAAAAAATCACCATTCTAGAATTCATTTCCCCCCAAAAAATTCATTTTAATGGTTGTCAAATAGGGGTTAAATAAAGATAAGCATTAGGGTTCAAGGCGTTTTGCTCGGTGCATTCTCTATTGGGTTCTCTTCTTTATTCATTCATACTTCAAACCACTTTCAGCTTTTCTCAAGTAGGATTGATATATGACTTTTGATTGATTTATATGGATGTACAGGCAAATACCCCTGCAAGATCAACTGGAGTTATGGACAAGGATAGGGAAGTATTAAGATATCCTAACAGCGGCGTGATTAATGGTGAGGATCGAACATCATCCCTTACCGTTGATGGTTGGGAGAAATCAAAGATGAAGAAGAGGCGTAGTGGAATAAAGACAGATGGTACTGCAAGTTCAATGGTGATGAAATCTGCTGATGGCTACAGGGAGTCTAAGCAAGTAATACAGCCACAACTTCTTACTGATGCCCAGTTCAAGGATGAGTGATTCCTATGGCGTCAGGTATTGCTTCTCAAACTGTCATAGGTCAGGCATCTGCCTGTGGTGAGAGATTGATTGCATTTTTATTTATAGAGCGAGTTTTGCTAAGCTTTAAAGAAAGTTTAAGTTACTTCAAAGTAAATTTTTGTTAACAAACACTTTTGGGTAGGTTATATTTTTCTAGTTGCTTATTTTGATGGTAGGGAGGGGTCACTATAACTGCAAATTTTTAACTCTTACCAACAAAAAAAAATTAAAATAAAATAATCATTTGAATACTTTCTTATTTACTTATAGACTTACTTATTGGTGATTTTATGCTTAGCCAAACATGTGCTATATGTTAATACGAACTTGTTTGGGGTCTTTTGATTAATTGGAAATTCCTATTTTTAGCAATTTAATTTTATCAAACAGAACAAGGAGAAATTTTTTGAAGTGAAGGGCTGTAAACCGAGATTGGATTCATTTTGCCAAGAGTTTTGTTGATATTAACTGCTGTTATGACCTTTACAATTAAATTTTATTGGTCCTTTCGACAAGTTTCCACAATATAGTGTACTATCTTAAAGTATATGGTATTTTTTTTAATTCTATGGTTTTACAGAAAAGAAATGGGTTAATACAACTATATTGCTCAAGCTTCGAAGTTTGTCGCGTGCACTTATTTGAGCTCATATAACGAAAATGTTAAAAGTCTGTACCTTTTCTGTTCTGAACTGTTGATGGTCCATCCTCATTTTTATTCATGTTCTCTGGTGGAATCACAAATTAGAGGCATCTATGGTAGAAATGATATGTGGTGAAGTTTGGTTTTAGAGCTTATGGTATTAGCATTTTACTATTTTAGAACGTGACAGATTAATTGTTTAGACTAGATATGATGTTTTATGTCCTATTCTATTGTATTGCCTAATATCTAATTTCGTACTAGTTTTGGAGTTTCTAGATCCCGTCCTGTGTAAAATGCTGATTTTTCTATACCATGCGGTTGACTTTCTGCATGCAGTGCACCACCTGTGATTTTTGATGTTTGGTTATGTGACTTATGCTCATTGACTAAATGTAGAGCACTTTTGGTTTCGAAAGGAACTTCGAGATTTTGCTTCACCTTCTGTTTACTTGGTTGCCCAATGACCTGCCCTTCAAATTGATGTTTTAACTATCAGTTTCCCTGTAAACCTTCTCGGGGATCAGTAAATGATAGTAATAATGAGGAACTTGACAGCTAAATTGCACAGATACGGGCACGCGACACAGACATGGACACAATACGACAAGGACACGCCAACACGTGATTTTTTTAAAAAGTAGGATGCAGACATGTTGGGGACACAATTTTAATTCTTTGAAATTTTAAATTCATATGTAATATCGCTATTGGCACATGGAATGTCCGACACTTTCCCAATGGGTGTCTATAAAGAATCTCTCGAGTGCTGGTCATTTAAATATTATATAAAAGAAATGGGGGCAAGGGCATGTGGTTGAGTACATGTCCATGAGTTTTCGGAGAGTGTCATGGTCCGACACGACACGATACCGACACGTGTCAGCTACGGACATGTCCTAGTAGAAGTGTCTGTGGCAAAACAAGACAGAAATTGTCGAGTTATCATTATAATTTTTGGTAAAAAAGAACTTGTTATTCGTAACTCTTGGGCTCAGGAATTCCTATATGCATCATAGATTGACAGCCTTTACTTCTGTCCTATTTTGAGAACAAAAGTTTCTGTTTAAATCTTTTGTAATCCCTTATTGGAGGCAAATATCTTTTCTATTGGAAAATTAGTAACTACAGAGGTACCAGTTAAAGGTTTATTTTATTTATGTGTGTGTGGGTTATTTTTTAATTTCATTTTTCTTTATATTGCTTGGTTCGAGCCTCATTTTTTGTCCAAGTGAGGACAATATCATTTTCCAATCCTAATAATCTTAGCATTAACCTTGATGCAGACCTGGGATTGCAAATGGGAGTGTAGGAGTTGGAAAAGCTGAATCCTCCTTGCAGCAGACTGGCTTTGGCACACTTCCTATCTGTAAGGCTGAGCAGGACAACAGCCCCCTTCATGAGAGGAGAGAGCGTCCTATCTGATCCTTTGTTACGAGTAGTAGTTTTTGGCATGCTAGCTTGTGGGAGTTATTCCTTCCTACGCAAATTGTAATTTTATTTTTTCTTGTCTCGTGTTGTCATTGTAAAATTTAGACTCGACATTATATTTGTGTCGATAAGAATTTTTTTGACTTTTCATCAAATATTCTACTTTTTCCTGGGCATTTAGGTTAAACACTTGTCCTTAGGAAACGAGTAGTGTAATGTCTTGTGTTGTGTTGTGACATGCAACATTATCATCTTTTTTCACGAGAAAATATGGTTGAACTTCACTTTTAAGGAGTATTAGATGTTATGCTATAAATATAACCCCCTGCTTGATGCACACTATTGAGTGAATAATTTATTTTAAATAGAGATTTGATGGAAAATATATGGTTAAAAAATAAGGAAATGTTTTGAATTTGCGTGTAATATTATTTTATTTAAAAACGTCTGGTTGAAAATATATTTTTTAAAAAAATGAATTTTTGTAAGAATGTAGATCAAATAGGGTCTAACTTAGGTTGTGTGTCAAGCCATGAATCGAATATGTTACAAGTTTTTATATCAGTCCAATCTAGCATTCAAAGGGGCAAGATTAGAAATTTTGTGACAAATCATTTCATATTATTTGAACTTAAAAATAAATCAACTTATTTTAAGTAAAAGTTATTAAAATGTGTTAAAAGGTCCGATTAGACTCTGTCTAGGCTTGAAGCTTGGAGAAAATGCCCCGTCTTGTGCCTAGGTGAAAAAGCCACATGCCTTTTTTCTCCGACAAGTGATATTTTCATGTTTTGAAATTCAAGTCAACAAAATGTTCAATCACTTTTAAAATTTCAAAAGAAAATAAGTCTAACAAAAAGTTCACTCTGACCTAAATTTAGTTTGCGAACATTACTTTCTTTGTGCACGAGTAAAATATTATGAATTTGGAGTCTTTATGATTTTGAGAATTATATTTTTGTAAGAAACTTGAAACACACACGAAATTTCTATAAATGTTTAAGTATACTTTATTTATTTATCGATCTACAATAATTAAAATGATATTAAAAATAAAAAACAACTTATTATGATTAAGCTCTTAAATTGGTTCGACTTTCATAGCTTGTCACGCCTAATGTTTTAGTAAGTTTTCTTGAGAGTACGTTTACTTGCAAAATACGTTGGTTAAATTTTTACAAGAGAAGCCACCGCCTTGTAATCCAGTATTTGGGCCGCCCAAGCTAACATCAAGCCCGCATCTAGCCCGGTCCATTTAGATTCAGCAATTCTGACAGTTTTCTTCTTTCCGGTCCATTGATTCTAGCAACACTGCTACTGCATTATCACCATCGTTCACTGGGCTTAATATCGGGCCAAAATCCGGTGTAATAATAAAGAAAAAAAAGTAAAATTCTCTCGTTCAATTTATCGACCGACCTCTCCTCCGCCGATCGACGATTCGCCGTTTTTCCGTTGATTTTCTATATCAGGTATTTCTTTTTTGTCATAATTTTAAGCCGGAAATGCTTTGATTAATTTAAGCGTATTGAATTCTCGATACGAGTATGGATGATTATAAATTTATCATCGATATAATCAGTATTTATTTTCAAAACCCTAATTGAACCCCTTAGCTGTTGGATTATTTCACCGATGATATATTGACCATTGCAGAGTTTTCGACCCAGAAACTTTTCGGATCACCAGTTTTCTTCAGATTTTCAGAGTATTTGTAAAGTTTAAAGTTTTTTCAGGTAATTTTTTTTTCTTAACTTTTTTTTTTTTTGGGAATTTATCTGATGATTATAAAATGTAAATCATGAATCATGGTTTTGAATATTTTTGAATGTCTAAAATGGTTAGAAGTTAAAAGGATTTTTAGGATTATCTTTGATCAGAGAAGTAACGTTTTGATGTTCAAAACCACCTACAGGTTTTGAGGTAGAAACAGCACTCTGTATGACCTACTTTTATAGATGCAAAATTTAGTCGTAAAAAGGAGTCGAAAAGTTGTGGAATTTATTATTAGTTACTAAATCAACGAGCATGAAATTGGAGCACAATCATTATTAGCTAAAGAGGAATCATAAATGCTAGCTTAGAACTTGGGAACTTGGACATCTGATCCTTTTTTGTTTGTTATCATTTACTCAGTAACACGAGTTTGCAGTTATTGATAGCAATATTTAATTTTTAAGTATGGAAAGATTCCATTTTGCTCGTGTTGATGGTGTAAGCTATCTATGTAGGCAGATAAAGTCGACTTGGCCATTTGAATGGTTCAATAACTTCCACCTTTTCTCGTCATAGCATTAAAAGTTCTTTATATGTGTGTTCTGAATAGCATTTACACACAGGCTTAACGAATTGATGGTGGAAGAGACTTCATTAACTGCCTCCCTTTTCTGTTTGTTTGGTAGAAGTTCTTGAAATGTAACTGAATAACATCTTTCAACGTACAGTCATTTGGAGTTTTTACTAGAATACATAATTGAAATATTTGCATGAGCTGAGATCAATAGAAAATTTGAGCAAAATGTTAGTTCTTCTTGAAATCAAACTGAGACATGCACATCCGTGAAACTCTTTTAAGTTGCTTGAGTGGCCTTCAGTTGCTCTTTTTTCCTGAATTTCCTTATTGATTTTACGGACATTTGAATAATTGTTTGAGTTTCGGTTCTTCTGACCTCCATTTTTTTTGGGTTGCAGGCATATTATATTCTGCTGTTACAGTTAATGATTTGAGCTGTGAGTTTAATGTGCCGTAGATTGTAGTATTACTATATTGCCATGCACAACTGTGTTAACCGGTTTTCTAACACAGAGAGCGTGTGGACATTGATTCAATGTCAGCATCTAGCAAATTTGATCTATCTTCTGGTAGCCCAGATAGGCCGCTATACTCATCTGGGCATCGTGGATCCTATGCTACTGCTTCTCTGGACAGATCAAGTAGCTTCCGCGAGAACGTGGAGAATCAAATCTTATCAACTCTTCCAAACATGACAAGAAGCAGTTCTTCCGTANAAGCAGTTCGTCCGTAACACATGGAGATGTGATGAATTGTTTTCAATGTGTGCGTGTGGATCCAAAGTCGATGGTCGTGGACCATAAGTTGAATCGACCAGTGGCATTTAAGCGACTTGCAACTGCTGCTGTCGGCATCCCACTAGAAGATTCTCTACCTGGATCTTCAAATAGCAAACCACTGCCTTCTCCCTCATCAGATGATCTCAGACGACTCAAGGCTGGTGTACGGGAAGGCGGTACTAAAGCTAGGTAGTTACTGTTGACCTTTTTTCATATGAATTTTTATGAGGGATAAGGATAATTCTGAACTTACACCACGTATCAGGGAACGTGTAAAGATATTCAATGATTGTTTATCTGTAATCAACAAATGTTTCCCAACCATTCCATCAAGGAAGAGATCCCGACTGGATACCTTATCAAACGACCGATCCAATGCCTTGTTATCAACTGATCGGTCAAGTTCAGGGATGGGCATCAGCAAAATGGGATCACAGAGTCATGCCAGTACGAGTAGTTTTGAACTGGAGCAACAAAGATCAGAAGAAAGGACAAAAATTTCAATTCCAAACAAACGCACACGAACTTCTATGGTAGACCCAAGGGTAAGTTTGGTTGCTTTCTTAAAATATTCTCTCTATACAGAATTGACTTGGCGATCTTATGCATTGATTGTTGTTCACAAGTTCTGTCTGCATATGTTTTTGTGCTTAATTATACTATAATGATTTTGGAAGGCTTCTTTATAATGTTCTCTTCATCAGCTACTAGCTCTCCCCTTTTTGTTTGATTTCTTGATTACAGGGCTGTATACTTCTTTTTAGTCTTAATTTATGTGATAATGATTTCCTACTGTTGTTCTTACTTGTTTGAAAGTGAGTATCTAAGCCCTCGTTTGACAACCATGAAAACAAAACCTTTTTTCTCAAATTCATTTTCAATTACTAATTCTCACAATAAAAATTTTTTGCACATAAACTCAAAACTTTTTCCTACTTTTTAATCCCACATTCTTCAAAAAAATCACGATTCTGGAATTCATTTCCCCCCCAAAAAAATTCATTTTAATGGTTGTCAAACGGGGGTTAAATAAAGACAAGCATTAGGGTTCAAGGCGTTTTGCTCGGTTCTCTTTTATATAGATTTCATTTTTTATCTATTCATAATCTTGGTTGATTACCTTTTGTGCATCTTGATTATTCTCATTCTGGTTGAAATTAATCTCCTGCTAAACTTTCCCTTGCATTCTCTATTGGGTTCTCTTCTTTATTCATTCATACTTCAAACGAGTTTGAGCTTTTCTCAAGTAGGATTGATATATGAGTTTTGATTGATTTATATGGATGTACAGGCAAATACCCCTGCAAGGCCAACTGGAGTTATGGACAAGGATAGGGAAATATTAAGATTTCCTAACAGCGGCGTGATTAATGGTGAGGATCGAACATCATCCCTTACCGTTGATGGTTGGGAGAAATCAAAGATGAAGAAGAGGCGTAGTGGAATAAAGACAGATGCTACTGCAAGTTCAACGGTGATGAAATCTGCTGATGGCTACAGGGAGTCTAAGCAAGTAATGCAGCCACGACTTCCTACTGATGCCCGTTCAAGGATGAGTGATTCCTATGGTGTCAGGTATTGCTTCTCAAACTGTCATAGGTCAGGCATCTGCCTGTGGTGAGAGATTGATTGCATTTTTATTTATAGAGCGAGTTTTGCTAAGCTTTAAAGAAAGTTAAAGTTACTTCAAAGTAAATTTTTGTTAACAAACATGTTTGGGTAGGTTATATTTTTCTAGTTGCTTACATTGATGGTAGGGAGGGGTCACTATAACTGCAAATTTTTAACTCTTACCAACAGAAAAAAAACAAAGTAAAAAAATCATTTGAATACTCTCTTATTTACTTATAGACTTACTTATTGGTGATTTTATGCTTAGCCAAACATGTGCTATATGTTAATACGAACTTGTTTGGGGTCATTTGATTAATTGGAAATTCCTATTTTAGCAATTTACTTTTATCAAACAGAACAAGGAGAAATTTTTTGAAGTGAAGGGCTGTAAACCGAGATTTGATTCATTTTGCCAAGAGTTTTGTTGATATTAACTGCTGTTATGAGCTTTACAATTAAATTTTATTGGTCCTTTCGACAAGTTTCAACAATATAGTGTACTATCTTAAAGTATATGGTATTTTTTTTAATTCTATGGTTTTACAGAAAAGAAATGGGTTAATACAACTATATTGCTCAAGCTTCGAAGTTTGTTTGTTTGTTTTTTTTTCCCCTTGTCTTGGACTACCGTGTGCACTTATTTGAGCTCGTATAACGAAAATGTTAAAAGTCTGTACCTTTTCTGTTCTGAACTGTTGATGGTCCATCCTCATTTTTATTCATGTTCTCAGGTGGAATCACAAATTAGAGGCATCTATAGTAGAAATGATATGTGGTGAAGTTTGGTATTAGTGCTTATGGTATTAGCATTTTACTGTTTTAGAACATGACAGATTAATTGTTTAGACTAGATATGATGTTGTGTGTCCTATTCTATTGTATCACCGAGTATCTAATTTCGTACTAGTTTTGGAGTTTCTAGATCCTGTCCTGTGTAAAATGCTGATTTTTATATACCATGTGGTCGGACTTTCTGTACCACCTGTGATTTTTGATGTTGGGTTATGTGACTTATGCTCATATTACATGTAGAGCACTTTTGGTTTCGAAAGGAACTTTGAGATTTTGCTTCACCTTCTGTTTACTTGGTTGCCCAATGACCTGCCCTTCAAATTGATGTTTTAACTATCAGTTTCCCTGTAAATCTTCTCGGGGATCAGTAAATGATAGTAATGATGAGGAACTTGACAGCTAAATTGCACGGATATGGGCACACGAAACAGAAATGGACACAATGCGACAAGGACACGCCAACACATGATTTTTAAAAAAAGTAGGATGCAGACATGTTGGGGACACGATTTTAATTCTTTAAAATTTAAATTCATATGTAATATCGCTATTGGCACATGGAATGTCCGACACTTTCCCAATGGGTGTCTATAAAGTATCTCTCGAGTGTTGGTTATTTAAATATTATATAAAAGAAATGGGGGCAGGGGCACGTGGTTGAGTACATGTCCTTGAGTTTCCGGAGAGTGTCATGGTCCGACATGACACGACACTGACACGTCAGGTATGAACATGTCCTAGTAGATGTGTCCGTNGTCAGGTATGAACATGTCCTAGTAGATGTGTCCGTGCATCATAGCTCGACAGCCTTTACTTCTGTCCTATTTTCAGAACAAAAGTTTCTGTTTAAATCTTTTGTAACCCCTTATTGGAGGCAACCATCTTTTCTATTGGTAAATTAGTAACTACAGAGGTACAATTTAAAGGTTTGTTTTATTTATGTGTGTGTGTGTTATTTTTTAATTTCATTTTTCTTTATCCAAGTGAGGACAATATCATTTTCCAATCCTAATAATCTTAGCATTAACCTTGATGCAGACCTGGGATTGCAAATGGGAGTGTAGGAGTTGGAAAAGCTGAATCCTCCTTGCAGCAGACTGGCTTAGGCACACGTCCTAGCTGTAAGGCTGAGCAGGACAACAGCCCCCTTCATGAGAGGAGAGAGCGTCCAACTGCTCCAGAGAAAGAAAGGGTGAATCTTAAAGCAGTTAACAAGTATGGAAATTATCATCTCACTTTTTCTTAGTTACTTCAAAAAAATTTGTTGATTGCATGGTTCCACAGATTTATGCAGTTTTCTTCTTTTCAATATTTCCCTGGCAGTCGGAGTGGGACTGTATGTGGGGATGGGGTTCCCTTGTGTTCTTGGTATTATGAATTCCATATGTATTCCTTTTTGGATTTGCTTTTCCCTTATATTAATATCACTCTTTCATGTTAGATAACTGTTTATTTCTTTTGTTCCATTAACCAGGGCAAATGCCCGTGAAGATATCAGTTCAGGCAGCCCTACCTCAAGCTCAAAGTTGAATGCAAATGCTCGGGCTTCACGTTCGGGTCCTGAAGGTGGTGTATCCAAGTTTTCTCAAGTGGTGCCACGGGCTACGGCATCTAATGATTGGGAGCTTTCTAACTGTACAAGCAAACTACCTGGTGCCGTTGGGGCTAATAACCGTAAGCGCACACCTTCAACACGGTCTTCTTCACCTCCTGTTGCTAATTGGGTCCAGAGACCTCAGAAGATCTCTCGAACAGCAAGAAGAACTAATATTGTTCCTATTGTCCCCAGCAATGATGAGACCTTTACCATTGATACGACGTCTGAGGTGATGAGGAATGAAAAACGCATGCCTGGCCATTCTCCCCGGCAAATTAAACTAAAAAATGACTTCTCTTCAGCTGCATTGTCTGAAAGTGAGGAATCAGGGGCTGCTGAAGCTAAGCCAAGAGACAAAAACAAGAAGTTTGATGAGATGGATGAAAAATGTGGACAAAATATCCATAAAATGTCAACCCTTCTGCTACCACCTAGAAAAAATAAGGCAGCTTGTGGGGAAGACCATGGAGACGGTGTCCGAAGGCAAGGGAGGAGTGGCCGTGGCTTTACATCCACCAGGTCCCTCATGACTTTAACAGTCGAAAAACATGGAAATGTCGGAACAACAAAACAAATAAGAAGTTCAAGATTTAGTTTTGAAAAGAATGAAAGGTTCAATATAATTTCCCCTTTATTTTTCCTTTTCTTTTCATCCCTCTTTTGCTTATTTGCTCCTCTGTAATGAGCGTTAACATGTTCATTAGTTTGAGAATTTCTTATAACTTGGTGAACATTTTGTTCAACAGGGCAGGTCGACCACCTACGAGGAAGCCCTCTGATAGGAAGCCTTATACACGTCAAAAGCATGCAGCTAATATAGCACCAGATTTTCTTGGTAATTAACTGTTGGTCTAAAAATTTTATTTTTTATATTTTTACAACACGATTAGCTGTATGTATTTATCCACTTCTTTTTTTTTTCCTTTAAATTTTGTAGTTGGTTCAGATGATGGGCATGAAGAGCTGTTGGCTGCTGCAAATGCTGTTACAAATACTGGTATTTTTTTCGAATAGAAAAAGTTTTTTCTTAATTTATTAGAATATCTTCTTTTTGTGGCATTGATTCGTTGGTTGTGATTGCAGCACAAGCCCTTTCTAGCCTGTTCTGGAGAAAGATGGAACCTCTGTATCGTTTCATATCTGATACAGATATTGCATATCTGAAAGACCAGGTACATATGTTATATTTGAAGAATTCTGAGCTACGATCCAGCAAGAAGTGACTTCTTCTAAACTCTTGATGTATAGTAATCAAATTGAGTCACTTGCCTTGTCAACTTCTTTTTCTTTCTTTGTTTACTTATCTAAGAATTAGACGATTACTCCTTTATCAAGTGCAATAGTCTCTCTTGTCACCTGCCGAACTTTATTCATCAACAACTGTCATTTTTCAAATTAGGCCTGAATTTATTAAAGCGTACTTAACCAAGCAGTTCATCACGTGTCTGTAACACCTGCTGATTATCTTAGATGCCAAAACTAATATTTACTGTGTCATAACTGCCATATCCTCTGTAAGGTCCCCTGATATTAGAATATACTTTTATGTCAATGACTATAATAACTGTATCAATACTCACCTGAATCTTCTAAATAATTAGGAGGGATTTCTTCCCAATTATTCTTCTTTAGTTCCCAACAATATTCTTTAGCTTTCAACATTTTGCAAAGAAACAGTGGTGAAGTGTAGAAACAGCCGATCTCATCTTTATTCTGTTGGACTTTTTGTAGTTGGAAATTTAGAATAAAATGAGTTCATCGTGGAGTTCATTTTTTGTGAACATTATTGTTGTTCTATATCATATGCTTTTGAGATTGTAACCAGCTAGATGAATTTATCTTTTACAGCCTAAATTGTAAAGGCAAACCTGAGATTCTGTATTTTCTGAACAATAAAATAAAATATTTATTGTAATATCCTGTCAATATGTGTATATAATTTTTCCAATTTTTTTAAGGGAGAAGTAATTTCACAAACATGGCTTATATTCATGTTTGGGTGAATATGATAATTTTTTACTCTAACCTTCCTATTCGTTTTTTCTTCGTATAGATTCCTGAAACAAAAGAATTTTGAGACAGAGTTAAGAATTCCCCCTTTACATTTGAGTAATGAATTCTAAGCCACAACTAGTTTCTTGTTTCAACAATTTGAATTCTCGAAGAAGCATTCTTGGTAACAATGGTCCTTTAACGTGTATGTGAAAACTCTCTCGACCGCATGGAGAGCTACCCTTCCACATCCAAACCCGTCAACCCATCTACCGACCCAATAGAACCTGACCCAACCACCAGCCTCACGCCACCAAACCATGGCCGAATCAGCCAGGGAAGACGCTTGCAAGTGGCGGCCCTAGGTGCTAACCCTAGCGCCGCCGCTCAGATCTTGCAAAAGGAGCGGCTTCCAGCCACCTCCGGGCCCCACGCGCTTGATCGGAACGCTGCACAGGCCATTCCGACCACGGCTATGGCGGCACCTTTTCCGGGAGGTGCTCCGGCAGCGCGTGAACCCCACGCGCCGGTGGCGCGTGCGCCACAAGTGCCGGCGACTGGCCTTCTGCAGACTTAGCCTGACCTGCACAGGTCATTCCACCCTTCAGTTCAACCGTCAGTTGCACCAATTCAGCGGAATGCGGAATTGTTTGGTACAAAGGAGTTTAATCTTCGTTTTAGAGTGGAAGCAAAGGAGTTTTGTGTGTCTATAAATAAATCCAGCATTGTTAGGTTGACCGAATAAGGACCGAGGACATCGAATGCAATATATTAACGTGTATGTGAAAACTCTCTCAACCGCATGGAGAGCTACCCTTCCACATCCAAACCCGTCAACTCATCTACCGACCCAATAAAACCTGACCCAACCACCGGCCTCACTCCACCAAACCATGGCCGAATCGGCCAGGGAAGACGCTTGCAAGCGGCGGCCCTAGGTGCTAACCCTAGCGCCGCTGCTCAGATCTTGCAAAAGGAGCGGCTTCCGGCCACCGCCGGGCCCCACGCGCTTGACCGGAACGCTGCACAGGCCATTCCGACCACGGCTATGGCGGCGCCTTTTCCGGGAGGTGCTCCGGCAGCGCGTGGAACCCACGCTCCGGCGGCGCTTGCGCCACAAGCGCCGGCGACTAGCCTTCTGCAGACTCAGCCTGACCTGCACAGGTCATTCCACCCTTCAGTTCAACCGTCAGTTGCACCAATTCAGCGGAATGCGGAATTGTTTGGTACAAAGGAGTTTAATCTTCGTTTTAGAGTGGAAGCAAAGGAGTTTTGTGTCTCTATAAATGAATCCAACATTGTTAGGTTGACCGAATGGGG